TACAAAGTGATGTTACAATGGTACATAGTTCTGTCCAGGGTGGCTTCACATGTCTTGGGAGCCTCTCCTCTTTGTTTTTGGGGGTATGGACAGGAGGGAGCAGCTTTTTATCATGGCAGTGCCCTAAAGTGAGGCATTTTTTTGGATTTGCCTCTAAAAGTATCTCTAAAAGTCCCCCAGCAAGCACTTTTTTTGCTATCCAGTGGAGGAGGGCCCATGACACACAAGGAGGTTGATTGCCTTCATATTTTAGCCATGAAAATCTCCATAGCCAGATCTTGGAGGACATCTACAATTCCCTTTAAATTGGTGAAGGAAAAAATGAATGTGGATTGTGATTAATGAATGTCTTTCAGCTATCTTACAAACTTACATTGTTAGGAAAAATATAGGACCCCTGGATTAACTACCTAACAGGGGATGCCTGACAAGGTGCGATAATGGGCTCCTGGATTGGATGTAATATGCTCTTTTTTTTACACCTTTTATACTTTCCCTTCTCTTTCCTCTTTTTTGGTAACTTTGCTCTACGCCGAAATATTGCCTAAAATCAATGCTCAGGAATGCTAACCTAGAACCCCAAGGTCATGGTGTCACCTTGAGTGGGCCCCTTGGAGGTTCACGCCTCACTACTAATGGTGTGCGTCTCAAGTAGGCTATCTGTGCAAAGTTGCTAAAAATTTATATGGGTGATACAGTAGCTTCAGCTGGCCACTTTGACCTCTTTACATTCTGGCAGCACTACAGCTGATGACACAGTAGAGAGTGTCAAATTTATGAATTATACCAGATTCCTGCGGAAGCAACTATTGCTTCACTGTTATCTATTTGAAACATTCTGTTTAGTTTCACCTCTATTTCTATGATTGTTTTTACTGACAAAGCACTGGTTCAAACAGCCTAGTGCAATTTGTGAAATGTTGTATTTGTTCTTTTTTATTGTTATTTCCCAATTCACCAATAAAAATTATTGGAAAAGACCATTGAACATTTTTTGAATAAAACAATTAGTATGGAGTCTGACATTTTGCCTTCTATCTATAAGGGCACAAACAACTTAGATTTATGTAAGGACCATTTCACCTGAGGGTTCATGGCATACCTACTGAACAAAGAAATAGAAGGGTTAGGGATATTGTGGGATTGGTGCAATATGAGGTAGCTCCTGGTATAGGGAAGAAGGCATTTAGTGGAATGACTTCAAAGGGAATGGGAATCATCACTTGTGTGGAGAAAACATATAGGAGAAATCAGAAAGAGGAATCAGAAAGGGAAAGGAAAAATCAGTCCAGTATATATGGGAGAGGATAAATAATAGAGTACATGAAGTAAGCAGGATGGAGAACCGATAAAGGGAAACCGCATACTAAGCAGGATCAAAGTAACAATAAGAGGAGAGAAAATGGAGAAATAGAACAGGAAGCTGCTACTGGACCCCCATTCCCTTCCTCACCCACCAAGGAGATACTCAAAAGACACAAACAATTGAGGTCATTGCAGGTATAATTATGAGCCAGGAGAATAGAAAAAGTCAAGTTTAAGTTATCCATTGTATTGTCCCTGGAGAGCATCATGTCTACTCGATACATTGGGGCTGATTTTCTAAAGGAAAATGGACTGTTCCCTTTGCAAGGGGAGTTGCACTTTACAAGGGAAATTTCCCCAGAGCTTAGTGAATGTGGTGTAATTTCCCTGTGCAAAGAAGACCCAATCATTTTCAAGAAAAATAAAAAAGCAGCATTTTTGCTTGCATTTGTTTGGATGATGGAAGTCAACGCAGCTTCACCACATTAACCAAGCTCTGGGGCTAATTCCCTTTTAAAGTGTAACCTCCCTTGTAAAGTGAACAGTCTATTTGCCTTTAGTAATTCAACCCTATAGATTCCAACTCACAATCCCACTAATACTGAGGGGGTGTCCGTCATAGGATTCTCTAATAGAGGGAGGTCTGATGGATTCACATGGTACCTTGTATCTAAGGGGTTGAATAAAGATTTTGGGGTTGATTTACTAAAACTGGAGAGTGTAAAATCTGGTGCAGCTCTGCATAGAAACCAATCAGCTTCCAGATTTTATTGTCAAAGCTTAATTGAACAAGCTGAAGTTAGAAGCTAATTGGCTACCATGCACAGCTACACCAGATTCCGAGCAAATCAGTTTTATTAAATTGCCCCCTTTGACTTGTGCTTATTGATTTAATACAAGATGAGAGGTCTTATGTACTTGTTATAAAGTACCAGTATGTTTTATGTTACTTTTTAATTACTGTATAGGAACAGACAGTGATGGAACACAGCTTTGTTTTTTTGATTACAATGTAGCTAAGTTACCTGTGATGATATACAGTGGGGATCGAAAGTTTGGGCACCCCAGCTAAAAATTTGTATTAATGTGCATAAAGAAACCAAGGAAAGATTGAAAAATCTCCAAAAGGCATCAAATTACAGATTAGACATTCTTATAATATGTCAACAAAAGTTAGATTTTATTTCCATCATTTACACTTTCAAAATAACAGAAAACAAAAAAATGGCGTCTGCAAAAGTTTGGGCACCCTGCAGAGTTAATATCTTGTACTGCACCCTTTGGCAAGTATCACAGCTTGTAAATGCTTTTTGTAGCCAGCCAAGAGTCTTTCAATTCTTGTTTGAGGTATCTTTGCCCATTCTTCCTTACAAAAGTCTTCCAGTTCTTTGAGATTTCTGGGCTGTCTGTCACGCACTGCTCTTTTAATGTCTATCCATAGATTTTCAATTATGTTGAGGTCAGGAGATTGTAAAGGCCATGGCAAAACCTTCAGTTTACGCCTCTTGATGTAATCCCCCGTGGATTTCGAGGTGTGTTTAGGATCATTATCCATTTGTAGAAGCCATCCTCTCTTTAACTTCAGCTTTTTCACAGATGGCATCAAAATACCATCCAAAATTTGCTGAAATTTTATTGAATCCATTTTTCCTTCTACTCGTGAGATGTTCCCTGTGCCACTGGCTGCAACACAACCCCAATGCATGATTGATCCAACCCCATGCTTAACAGTTGGACAGAGGTTCTTTTCATTCAATTCTGTGCCCCTTCTTCTCCAAACGTACCTTTGCTCATTCCGGCCAAAAAGTTCAATTTTAACCTCATCGGTCCACAGAACTTGTTTCCAAAATGCATCAGGCTTGTTTTTCTCATAATCCTGCGAGCTGTTCTGTCTGATATTTTTCTTGGTCTTCCAGATCTTGCTTTAACTTCCACTGTTTCTGATGACTGCCATTTCTTAATTATATTCTGAACAGAGGATATTGACATCTGAAAACACTTTGCTATCTTCTTATAGCCTTCTCCAGCTTTGTGAGCATCAACTATTTTCAGTTTCAGTTTTCTAGACAACTGCTCAGAAGAACCCATGGTGCTGATTGTTGGGGCAAGGTCAGATGAGTCTGGGCATTTAAAACCTTTGAGATTGACATAACCTGGTCTTCCCAGACGATGATTGAGAACAATCCATGACACTGGCAGGTCTCAGCTTTGCAAAGGGGGCAGTACAAGATATTAACTCTGCAGGGTGCCCAAACTTTTGCAGACGCCATTTTTTTGTTTTCTGTTATTTTGAAAGTGTAAATTATGGAAATAAAATCTAACATATTATAAGAATGTCTAATCTGTAATTTGATGCCTTTTGGAGATTTTTCCATCTTTCCTTGGCTTCTTTATGCACATTAATACAAATTTTTAGCTGGGGTGCCCAAACTTTCGATCCCCACTGTATGTCTGCTTTTATACTGTTTAGGTATGCAAATTAATTTTGTTGGGTTTGACAAAGGGTGACAAACTGCTGCCTTGTGTGTTCTTATGTACCTTTTTTTTTTTTCTTAAATAAAATGATCAGTATCTTTGTGGTACTGCATCTTTTATGGATAGCTACAGGTCATATTTTGTTCTGACTTGTAAAATTATTACTGCTGAACAACAGCTTTTACCTCTGTAGGGTCACAAAATGGGTGTCAGTGTGTCTAGTGTTCGGGCAACGCTGAACACGCTAGTTTGTGACTGATGATGTACAGCACATGTCCCTATGTCTGATCTCAGTCACCACACACTTGAAAGACTTCAGTCTAGTGATGAAGTGACGCTGAAGCATTCTCAGAACAGGTCCACCATTTTCAGCTAATCGCTCTGGGATAATGTGTTCCACGCTGATGCCATCCAAACAAGATCTTATAAGAAAATGCCAAGAACAGATGTGTGACTCTAAAACTGTCATCGGTGACCTTTGCTCCTCTTTCAGTGGTCTCTCACTGAGGGGATTTCTACCCCCATACTAAATAACCTTGCTTACAAGGACAGACAGCTGGAACTATAATAACAAAAGGTATTTTTTTAAAGCACACTACTATTTTCAGGATGTGCAGTTGCTCGGTGCTGTATAAACAAAATTACAGATAGGATTACTTTTGAAAGGTAAATGTCTCTTAAATTACTTTTTCGTATACGGTTTCAGCTGAACGGAACAATTACATTTAAAAAAATGTAAAAGAAAAATGAAAAGAACAACCCATTTTATATGCACAGCCTCTTGTAGCATACCTTGTCATAGCTGGCTGGCACATTCATATGGCTCAGCAACTTGTAGTCCCAAAATATCAGGTTACTGACCGCTATGTAATATTAGCCTGTATAGTGTACCCCCTAAGGAGCCACTGGTGAACTTGGTCCTATTTCCCCCTAACAGCACACACAGCCAGGCACACCACATTTTCTGCACTCTTCCATCGGCTCCAAAGAACAGTCTGGGGGTTTCTTTTTGGGGGGTTTTCGGGAACGATGAACTTGAATAGGGAGCATGGGATACACCGATACACTGTAACATTGAAAAACTTGAGGACTCTTCAACTTTTGGCTGTGCTGTACAAAAATGAATGTCCAACAGAATCGCTATGCTGTTGGTGACCTGTACTCCTTACAGAGTTAAAAGCTACACACAGTCACTATTCTTCAACACTAGGGCCATCTACGTACATAGCAACCAGGGGCGGACTGACCATTTGGAAACTCGGGCACTGCCCAAGGGCCCGGGGGTCAGTAGGGGGGGCCCCATGAGATGCCCCTGGTACCTTTTTCATAGGCTTTTTTGAGTTTGGGCAAGGACACAGGGGCCCCATGATCCTCTATTGCCCGGGGGCCCCATGAGTTGTCAGTCCGCCCCTGATAGCAACAGAATCATTGATGGCTCCTGCTGATATCCACCAGGTTCTTCTTAGTAATGGAGATGCAAACTCATACCATCATAGGATAGCTGGACTCTTTCACACCAGCTTCCTCTTGAGCTTCTCAAGACCTGACTTGATCCCCGGACGTGGATTTGCAAATAGGCCCCTCAGCTAAGCCTAGCTGGGACCTCTGGGTCTTCATGAAGACTTCCCCTAGGATCCTGCACCAGGGACAGAGTCCCTGCACCTGGGTCTCCTCCTCCAGGCCTGGATCCAGGAACACTAAATCCTGCTGCTCAGGCCTCAGACTATTTATGGGTTCTCTTACCACCAACTGGGCACACCTCGCCAGGGATTGGCTGGAGTTCCATAAATATTCAGGCTGCATGCCCTGTCCTTCCTCCAACTATGATTCTAGAATCATCTAGAAGACAGGGGAAAGTAACAGAGTAGCAACTTGTGAGACACTGAGCAGCTCTAAATAATCAATTCCTGCCCCTCTGATTACAGGGGAGCCAAAATAAATGTACTTAGCAGCCTTCTCTACACTAGGTGGGTGCTACACCTGTTATGCTACAAATAAGCTTTGATCAAAAATAGGAAGTCCTGGGCTGGTAGGCTGTGTTCTCTGTATTTCAAGTTTGCTTTTCATTTTGTTCAATATATTGAGTTCTTGATAATAAAACTCTTGTTAAAGAGCAGGCAATGCTGATTTTTTTATTGAAAGGGTTACTTCACCTTTCATGGCATAAAAAAAATCCATATGTATTACAACTTTGAGTATACATAACCCTCCATGCACACTGGTTGTTTTGATAACGCTGGTAACATTAGCTGTGTAAAGTCATGTTAAAAACGTGAGTTTTTCAGCTTTTTTAGCGTTTTTTGCATTAGAGTTTAGCAGCATTTTCCCACGTTTTTTCTGTGTTTGCGTTTTTGTGTTTTTCAGCGTTTTTTTTTTTTTTTACCCCCCCAAAATCTTTTGGGTCAAAAAATGTCCAAAAATGCCGGTTTGCAGTGGTTTACCGTGTTTTGCCGTGTTTTTCAGCGTTAGAGCGTTTTTACAGCTAAAAAACTCCTCTAGAAACCCACTAGTCTTGGGTTTTTTTTACAGCCAAAAAAACGTCCCTGCCAAAAAAGTTGATTACAGTCTATGTGTGCATAAACATATAGGATAATATGCTGGGGGTTTACTGGCTGTAGAAAAAAAAAGTCAAAAGCCAAAAACAGCAGCTGTAAAAACCTCCAGTGTGCAAGAGGACTTAAAATGCTGTCCTCTGTTTTGAAAAATGATCCTTTGTTTTGAAGCTGCTCTTTCCATTGGCTTCCCTTCTCTGTACTGACATTCTTGGATGTGCAGCCCAGCACTTAACTAAAGCAGTCAGCTATCATAACTTGACTTGCCAAACCATGCATGCACAGTGCGCTCTCTCTTGCAGCATTCTGCAAGATATAGACAGAGCAGACTGCGCATACGTGATTGGAAAGGTTAGGTTTTTGTAGCTGAATGCTCGTTTGTGAGGCCAGGTTCAACAGTAAGGATCATTTTTAAAAACAGAGAACTGCATTTTTATGTATGGACAAAGCTGTAATGCGTATGGATATTTTAAATGTCATTAAAGGTTATGTAACCATCTAAACATGCCAAATCATTGACCTGGAACAAGAAAGTCCTTGTCTGCATACCTATTCAAAGCCTGTGAACCAAATTGTAAAGATAAGAGGGTCTGCTTTACAGCTGTCTTTTTCCGAATCAGAACTAGCAGTCTTTATTTTTTATTTCATAACGGGTTTCTTGTAAAACCTATTTGCCTGGTAAATTACATTATTGTATAGGACTGCAAAGAATAATTGGGAGATCATAGACCCTAATAAATGGATATTATTTGTAAGCCTAACTAGAAACTGTGCTTCAGTTGAAAATACCTTGTGGATAGCAAAGTTTAAATTCTCATTTAATCTATGGGTGGATTTAAGCAGAGAAATACTTATCTCATTCCTTGCTACTCAGACAGCCAGTGCTCCCCTCCACTCCTACGATGTTGGGGAAGCCCTCAATTCCCTCACATACAATGCAGGAATGTGATGACCAGGGGCGGACTCACAACTCATGGGGCCCCTGGGCAATAGGGGATCATGGGGCCCCTGTGTCCTTGCCCAAACTCCAAAAAGCCTATGAAAAAGGTACCAGGGGCATCTCATGGGGCTCCCTACTGACCCCGGGCCCTCGGGCAGTGCCCGAGTTTCCAAATGGTCAGTCTGACCCAGGTGATGACACTGGAGAAGGGGTAGCCATTAAAATGCATGATACTGTTTTGTGATAGAATTCTTTAAATTGATGTTTTTCGTATTTTTCAATATTGACGAAAAGGACACTTGTACTATGAGGAGAATATGTGCTACCCATTACTCTGACCTGTAACTGTCACTATGTACAATTGATACTTTCTATACTCTGTACTTCTGAACATGATATACTCATGGATGCCTGAACTTGGTAGTAAAGCACTCTATACCTACTCTGCCTTCCAGACTACAGGACACAACAAATAAGTCTGCTGCATTGTAGACACTACATACCGTGAGAACTCACCTTCTCTGTGATTCCCTATTGCCTTAATCTATGACCAGAGCATCCCAAATTGCTACTTAAAGCTGAAGTTTAGATATGGCAATTTGGACCATTGTAAGTTTGTACAGTTGTGTTCAAAATAATAGCAGTCAGACATCACTAACCTGATCAATCACTGTTTTTGGTAGAATGATATTTCTACATGGCAAATAATTTACTAGCAGGTGTAGTAGAGTAATAGAAATCCAACAGACCCAACAGTCATGACATGCATGCTGCTGATTCTGTGTAATTGAATCACTAATTGAAAGGGGCATGTTCAAAATAATAGCAGTGTGGAGTTCTATTAGTGAGGTAATTCATTCTTTGAAAAACAGGCGGCAATTATTGCCCTTATTTAAGGAAGGAAGGCAGCGAATGTTGTACATGCTGGTTACAGTGTCTTTCTCTCTGAAATTCTGAGGAAAATGGGTCGTTCCAGACATTGTTCAGAAGAACAGCGTACCTTGATTAAAAAGTTGATTGGAGAGGGGGAAACATATAAAGAAGTGCAGAAAATGATAGGCTGCTCAGCTAAAATGATCGCAATGCTTTAAAATTGCAACCAAAACCTGAAAGACGTGGAAGAAAGTGAAAAACTACCATTCGAATGGATAGAAGAATAGCCAAAATGGCAAGGACTCAGCCAACAATCAGCTCCAGGAAGATCAAAGAAGGTCTAAAGTTACCTGTGAGTACTGTTACAATTAGAAGACTCCTATGTGAATCCAAGCTATCTGCAAGAAGCCCCAGCAAAGTCCCACTGTTGAAAAAAAGACATGTGCTGAAGAGGTTACAATTTGCCAAAGAGCACATTGACTGGCCTAAAGAGAAATGGCGCAACATTTTGTGGACTGATGAAAGTAAGATTGTTCTTTTTGGATCTAGTGGCCGGTGACAGTTTGTCAGACGACCCCCAAACACTGAATTCAAGCCACAGTACACTGTGAAGACAGTGAAGCATGGTTGTGCAAGCATCATGATATGGGGATGTTTCTCATACTACGGTGTTGGGCCTATTTATCGTATACCAGGGATCATGGATCAGTTTGAATACATCAGAATTTTTGAAGAGGTCATGCTGCCTTATGCTGAAGAGGAAATGCCCTTGAAATGGGTGTTCCAACAAGACAACGACCCCAAACACACCAGTAAATGTGCAACATCTTGGTTCCAGACCAACAAGATTGACGTTATGGAGTGGCCAGCCCAATCCCCGGATCTTAACCCAAAAGAAAATGTGTGGGGTGACATCAAAAATGCAGTTTCTGAGGCAAAACCAAGAAATAGAGAAGAACTGTGGAATGTAGTCCAATCATCCTGGGCTGAAATACCTGTTCACAGGTGCCAGAAGTTGGTTGACTCCATGCAAACACAGATGTACAGCAGTTCTCAGAAAACAGTGCTTATACAACTAAATATTCATTAAGTGATTCAAAGGAAAGCAAAATCTTCAAACATTTTTTAGTTTATATAGTGAATGTTTGAGTTTGTAAAGAAGAATACAAACACTGCTATTTTTTTGAACAGTCTAATATTCACTTTTCTTCAGTTTTTTTAGAGGAACAACACAAATTTGATATATTTTTCTTCATGTTTTGATTTGAAATAGAATGTGTAGTGTTCCCAATGCATTTGTGTGTATGGAAATAAAAGCTTTTAGAAGGATTTTGAGCTTTATTCACGTTTTTCAACACACTGCTATTATTTTGAACACAGCTGTATGTGCCATATCTGTGGGATCCCCATGGAAGCTGGAAATCACTGAAGTAGACAGGTCTACTACAGATATATCCGCTTCCTTCCATGATCTGTGCTAGGCGGCTGATTGAACGAGGTAGAGAGGTGGGTCGTTGACGTCACAATATCCACCTCTTCCGGTCATACAATCACTGCATTCACTGAGAACTTGCAAAGTGTCCTCTGAATGGCACATGTGCAAAGTGGGTGATCTCCTGTGTTCAGTAAGCAGAAGGGCAGCCTCTTAGCAAGGGACCTGGAAGCAAGTGGAGATAATTGGAGTCCCTACTACAGTGATTTCCAACTTCCCTTGGGATCCCACATGAATGGCACATACGACATTGTTCCACATTGGGCAATGGGGGGATGTACTAAAACTGAAAAACTCAGAATCTTGTGCAGCTGTGCATGGTAGCCAACTTAAGCTTGTTCAATTGAACTTTGCCAGTAAAACCTGGAAGTTGATTGCTTTCAATGCAGAGCTGTACCAGATATTGCACTCTCCAGTTTTAGTAAATCCCCCCCCCCCCCCCAATGTAACTATGTATACATTTCCATGCCTAAACTTCAGTTTTAATTTTAGACTTTTGGAAAGTCAAAACCTATATAGGTTGCAGTAAGCTACCTTTCATCCCACGTAACAGCACTCTGGCTTGGTGGCTCAGGCAT